TCTTTGTCCACCAACTTTAGGTAAGGATGTCTGTTCAAGAATAGTGCTTTTGTACTATTCGCTATAACAAAGGACAAGCCTTCCTGTTAAGGCTTGCCAYRCAYTCTAAACCCTACCWTACTGCATTAAATGGACATTTAATGCACTGGGTTTAAATAGAAGTGTTTCTTCTCCATGCAGAGTGCGCGCATCACTCTCTTCCCTCTTTCTTACTTCAAGCTTCTTTCAACTTAAAGTAAAAGATATTTTCTATTAGCAATCTCTTTTCTTGTAATTGCTAACCTTTGTGTGTAACTTAAGATTGTTTAGATAGGTTTCTTTTATCTTATCTTTCCGCAAACAATCTTGTAAAATCTGTATTAATCTTCTCTACCAATATATATTTTAAATTTGAAAACATTATGTTTGTATTCATCCCCCCCTTCTACAAACTGTTTAGTATTCTTGTAGACCCTTTTGGGACCAACAAAACTCTTATAGCTACCTTATCCAACAATTAAAAAAATTATTGCTATACATGAGGCAGTTTGAGAGTGTATATGTCTAAGGTCTGTCATTACACATATAAGAGTGGCTAGTGGTTTATGTTTAATCACTCAAAATCCTACATGCATATATGAAAATAATGCAGCTTGTATCGAACAAATAAAAGTAAGATATATCAAGAGTGATAATACAAAACATATTTGGCCAAAGTTTTTCTACAATCAACAAAACAGACTCTCCTTAAGATTCAAGTGAATCAAGTAAGGTCTAAGGAGAATGCGGCTGATTTGTTTACCAAATTACTGCCTAAGGCTAGATTTGAGAAACATGTGGAAAACATTGGAATGCGGAGACTTTCCAAACTCCCTTGATTAATGTACGTATCAAGGGGAGTTATAGACAAAAGGGGGAGTCTACTATACATGTGATATTGGTATGTTGTGCTCTTTCTTTCACCCAAAGTTTTATTTTCTCCATTGGGTTTTATTTCTTGGTGTAAGATTTTAGTGAGACAACAATTTGTATACCATATTGCTTTCCCAATACTCATGATTAATGTAAAACCCAAAAAATTTCGAGGAATAAATAATTTATCTTCATTATTATACTTTTTTTATTATAAAATACATACACACACGTACTTATACTTATATATATATATATATATGTTAAATAAATATAGAAATTAAAAGAAGTTTAAAAATCGGACTAAAGATGAAAGAAAAAGTCAAGGCATGGGTGAAAATTATAAATTCGTGATAGTTAAGGGGGTGTGCCAGGTGTTAACAGGTCCAAACCAGAAGGACTTGTTATGTAATTATGCCATTTTCTGATTTCTTGAAAGAGATGGAACGATGCCAACTTTGAGGCTTCCTATTGGCTCGTTCGGTCAACCAATAAGCCAAAAAAAAAAATCAGGAATATGTAGACAATGTTCCCCTCTACAGTTTTCATTCAAACTTTTTGAAATTTCGTTGAGAATCGGAAGAGAAATCGGAGCTCGAAAGTCTCCATCCGAAATCTTCGTTTTTCGTCGATTAGAGGTAAAATACTCAACTAAAATTCATGTTCTTTATATGGTTAGCTTCGGTTTTTAGTTCTCTATAGAACACTAGTGGCCTTATGTTTCAGATTTGGTGTTTTATGGTTCGATTTTGAAGTTTAAAGTTTCGTTCGGTTTAGTTTAAAACTAAAACTTTAAATGAGAAAATGGAACTTATTTCTTGACGAAAAATTATGTTCTTTATGTCAAAATGTTGGTAAAAATATTACCAAGGTTTTAACACAAAAATAATGAAGAAAAAAGATGAAAAAACGGGTCAAATCGAATGTTGAAATGGTGAAAAAACGCAGCCATGGCTGATGTGGGTCTGTTGGGTTTTTGACCGATTAAAAAATTAAATGTAGGTATATGTTGAGAGAGGTATGCATTAATCACTTTGATAGGAAACCATTTCATGTTAATTAAGATTAGAAATTTCTTATATCTAATAATTAACTGACTTTCTTAATAAATTTTTATTTTAACCCTATTATTTAGGAAACTAAACTTAACTTCTAAAATTTTCTTAACTCCAGAAAATTTTTTAAAGTTTTTTTAGATGTATACATTTCAACTTTATTTTATTATTATTATTTTTTTTGATTTTATGAAATTACCAAAATACCTCTAAAATTAAAGAGTGTGTATTTTGAGCAATACGAGACCATTTAGCTTTATAAAAAATACCGTCAAAGTTGAAATTTACTACGTTAACTATGTAATTATTTGGAGATAATTAGAATGAATCATTTAAATAATTAGATGATTTTTTTATGAGATTAAAACATAACTCTTGAGCTATATATATATATATATATATATATAGATAGATATAGATGTATATATATCGTCTAGACATTTATTTTATAAAAGGTGATTTTATGGAGTTATAAAATAAATAATTGACTATACGAGGTGTTACTCGAGTTGTAAATTTATTAGGACGTTTCTAACTCGAAATATGTAATTATTAACATGTCTATCATATAATCGATAACTTAATAATCACGTTTATGATGTCGTTTTAAGATATATAGCTAGACGATACACCTTATGTCGGGACTCACGGTTCCTATATTTTTAATTGATGTGAGGAGCGTTCTTAAACATAGTTGACCAAGGTTAACCCTAGTCGACGTAGTTGACCGTAAGTTGACTTTTATGTTAGCCTTTGAGAAAAATTAATCATTTATATGCTATTCGCTATTATAAATTGTAGGTTACCAGTCAGCGACATTAGTTAAGCAATCTACGTTATCAGGTGAGTCTTCATGAGACTTACAATGGGATGCATACCTATGTATAAATTTATTTTCGAGCATTATATGATTTATATGGTAATATGTACATATGCATGATGTTGCAGTTTACATAAATGATATATTTTACATGTATGTTATTTTGTGAATGGTTACATACTAAGTGTTTAATCAGTTTTCGAATAACTCTAGCATGTTGTTCCATATTAAAGTTTATGATTCAAGGGGTGGGCATTTGACCAGTAAGTCACGACCAGTATAAAACACAACCCAGATAAGTGGGTGATCAATTAAGGCTAACATATCAACCCATGGCGTGTTTGTGACTAAATGATCCATACTCGACTAAACATTATATGAGATCTCTTATTTTCAGTGTTTTAAATATATATTTTCTTAAAGCTGTGACTTTTATTATAAAACATACATATATATATATATATATATATATGTCAAGATATGATTTTATTCACGCAAACCATGAACTCACTGAGCTTTATAAGCTGACTATAATATGCATCTCAGGACCAGGTAGCTCGAGGTTGGATAAGGGCAAAAGACACGCTTAGAGAGTTGCTAATTATCATTTTATTTTTAGTCTTTTGTCTAGCAGCGTTGTGTCGATTTTTTGTAACTTAACCCGGTATGAGGTGGGTTAGAACTTAAGTTAATTTTTGGTTGATTCAAAGGCTTCCGCTGTAAACGGTTTAAACGGTTTTATTTTAGCCGTCTTTTGAAATATTTATTTAGGAATTTGTTTCAGATTACGTAACATTCACAAAAAAAAAATGAGGGTGTTACAATTAATGTATGATTCTTAGAGAATATTAGACCAAAGGAAAAATCTATGTATTGCAAAGAAATTGGTGCGTTGTACTCTTTCATTCGTCCTAATTTTATTTTTTCCCACTGGGTTTTATTTTGGCGTAAGGTTTTAACGAGACAATAATTGTGCACCATCACTCATTTGACTCGACACAAAGGGGAGTGTTGTAGGAGAAGTGTGCCATCGTCTAAATGATATGACGATAGAGATAGAGATAAATATATCAGAGTTAGATTAAAAGTGAAATATCTCATAATTATCTACTTGTAACTCATCCCTATACTGTATGTTAAATAGAGAAAATAAGAGAGAAAAGGTAAAAATCTATAAATTTGATGAAATCTCTAAAACTCTATCATAAAGAAAAAAAATTACATTTAATTATTTCTCAACATAAAAAGACATTGAAATCAAGTGTTTATTAGAGAAATAATATTTTATAAAATGTATTGAATACCTTAATAATATAATTAATGATAATATTGTTAAAATAAAATAACTATGGAAGTTGAATGTAATTTTATTTATGGAATTTAACTTTTAATATTGTATTTTATTTTTGATTAACCTGGATATCTAACTCGATATACAAGTCGATTAATCATAGGACAACCAACTGCTTTACTGGTAATCCGAAGTGACAACATTTGAATTCTTGAATTTAAACTTGGGAAATCGTGGCTAATACTGTTTTTTTATAATTATTATAGCGTTGAAAATATTCCCAAGATGGAGCAAAATTTCTAAAATTTAATTTATCCCCTTTTCTTTTAAAATCATTGCAGATAGATCCAAAGAGAGACTGATGAACCAAGAGATTGGTAGTGGACAGGGGCAACAGACGATGACGGACAGATGGATCCGAGCAGTAGTTGAAGCGATCCACTCCACTCCTACTCAGGCCGTTCTCTACTTCTCCGGCGGCGCTTCTCAGGTCTCACCGCATACATACAAACTATTGTATTCAATATCCATCAGCAAATCCAAAACACACATATTATTTGTGTTGATATGTGTTTTACTGATCAAATTCAGGTGTTATATTATTTGTGTTGATATGTGTTTTACTGATCAAATTCAGGTGTTANATATTATTTGTGTTGATATGTGTTTTACTGATCAAATTCAGGTGTTATATTATTTGTGTTGATATGTGTTTTACTGATCAAATTCAGGTGTTAGGGTGGTTGTCATCAATTCCCGGTGCTTCAAACACAGTTCTTGAAGTTATTGTTCCTTATTCTCGAATGTCCATGATCCAATTGCTTGGCAAGGTGCGTCGCCTTTGTTTAACCGAGGGTAAAATTAGAGATGCCTAGAAGCTTCTAGTCCAAAAGTATAAATTCAAGACTGAATAGGATTCTATAACTTCGTTTTTGGAAAGCAGGGAGTAACCTATGCTCATGTTCTCTGAATGATTTTATTTATGCTTGGCGTTTGATTTGTTAGTAGGTGCCTGTTCAATTCACTAGCAAGGAGACTGCCGAAGACATGGCATTAGTGGCTTATAATCGCGCTCTAAAGCTCTCAAAACCAGGTTATTATCATATCATATCAAGCTTATGGTCATGAAAAGCAGGGGTTTAATTATTGTAGCCTTGGGTACTTTTTAAGTGTTGTGAAATGATATGTTTGTGATGCTTTAGTTATTTTCTGATTAAGTTATTCCATAGCTAGTCTTTATGCTGTATAGTTGGCAGGAACGTCAATCTGAAGTTAGATATCAAGGAGGTATTTTAAGCTAAAAACGTGAAAAGGAAACAATAACAATAAAAAAGAAGAACAAAGACGGTGTGGTGGGTTGATTCCCCATATACCCCTTTTTTCCATAAGACAAAGAGGGACATCAAGAATACTTCGTCTCGTAGAAGAAGAAGAGAGACTTAGCTTGATGCCTGATGATCCTAGTTTTCTCTAGAACTATAAGCATCAAAAGAGCTGCTCACATATATAGCATACCTAATTCCTCATTTTTGAACGTGAAACCTAATATGATATCTTTCAAGCACTCGTTCTCTCCCCTTCCGTCCCTACACTTACATACACATTACTCCTTCCAGTAACTAGTCTCCCTGGTCAATTTATGAGCTGTTTAATTGGCATCAGCTTATTCTTGGATGCTGTCGACGTTTGGTAAGAAAAATTATGCACTTGCCCTCGCCATCAAAAAGACATGCTGCACCTTAAGCATGCATCTCTTTTATTTATTTATATTTTCGTTGCTTTTTATATCCTAGAGAAATCAACCATGTTATTTCCCTTATACCAGGATTCTTACCAGCTACCAGTAGCAGTAATAATTTGTAACTGTCTATCTGAGTTCAACTTCAAAAGATACATATATGGGGTTCTTTAAGATTTGAAATTGACAAATTTTTAGTTAGGGAACTGCCAATGGTGAATCATGAAGAGATAACGAGCAGAGGAGGAAGAGACAATAATGGTGATCTTTTTTTATGACAGCAGGACTGCAGTAGATAGTCAAAATGAATTGGTTGCAGAGAAATCACTGTTTATTTTGATCAACTGTGCACACCTGTATAGTATGATCTTACTATATTTCCTTCATTCTTTTACATGCTATCTAGATACGGGTATGTGTGTGTGGCACTGTGCGACATCGAGTTCATATGCGGGGTGACCTGTGTGGATATCTTTGTATCCAGCCACTAAGCCAAGTGCTCCTGGAAGTTGGTAAATTCATGGACATGGGCTAAATTTGACAGATGGAACAAAGCAATCTATAAAAATAGAATGTAGGCATAAGCACACTGATGTTGATGCTTGTTATTTCTGAAGAAATTATGTTAGTGAAATTCTGACAGATGGATTTATCTTTGCATAACACTGGTATCCACTGAGAAAAGTCCTGTTTAAGTGCTCATAGGATCTTGGAAGTTCTTTATGGCTGTTGGCTTAAATCTGAAAAGGTTGACGTTTGACGCTTGGTTGGCATCCACGGAACTTTTCTCCCTCTGAAATAGGGTGTCGGTCATATTTCATTTTAAACATGGCCCATCCTGGTTGGACAAATCAATACTAGTATCCTGGATGATGCATGGTTGTGGAAACTGATCATCAAAGGAGATATGATTCATCTATGTTATAACTATCATCAGGGTTGAGTCATCATTTCGAAGGTGACAAGGCCCTATCGACTTGTATGCATGGCTGTCAATGGGTGTTGTTGGTTTAGCTTATGCTACACATAAATTTTTATTTATTTTGTTTTTAGACGAAAAAGGAAAATCACTTGACTTACTGTGCATCTTTATTCATATCCTTGTTTGTGTACTTTACTTTGCTACTTTTACGCCTTTGATTAATCTTATTTTGAGAAGAAATGCAGCCACTTAACTTATATAGCTTCTCTTTCTTTTATAAGGTTCTCCGGTCGTAGGTGTGGGATTTACTGGTTCTTTGGTTACCACACATCCAAAACTAGGGGATCACAGGTATTCTTTATAATTTATTTTAATTAAGGCTTCTAAAGGTTTTCTTATGTTACAATTAAGTGCTATGTATAGCAAGTAAAGTAGTTCTATCTTGCTCTTCCGTAGAAGCTTTGTAGTAAAATTATGTCATGTGAGGGAATGTTTACTTATTGTCCACGAGGAAAAAAATATTTTCTGTTGCGTTTCTTAAGTTTGAACTCTTGCATGATAAATTGCCTTAGCAGATCACTTCTTACACTTAGTTTATTGAGGTGTGGTTGGGTCATTAATTCCCATCCAGAGCTTGATATCCTGGATATATATGAAGAATAAGTGTGATCCCAGTTTTCAAGTCTAATCAATCAAATTAATAACAATGATCAAGAACAAGATGAAGAATCAAATCAGTCAGCAAGCTTCCATTTCATAAACTGTGAAGAACGATGTTCTTGATACAAAGGGTACTCTCAATCTCTCTCAATGTCAAAGATACGTATGAATCTATCTATGATTGGCTAACCCAACTAACAAAACTAACAGTTGCTATTTATAGCAACTCCCAAAATAGAAAGTCAACTACACAAGCTATAAAAGGAAACTACAAGAAGTAAACAATACAAAGCATTTAAAACAATTTAAGCACCGGGACTTGAATACAACATTTTTGTTTCAACAATATGCATGCTCAAAAGAAGATGATAAGCATGCTGGATGCATCCAACATTAAGTCCTTGGTAATAGATGCGCCATGCACATCTTGCTTGTTATTGAAGGCAATATTTACTAAACGGGTGCTAGAATTTTATTAAGTATAGAAGGATTCTGTTAAAATTCAATGTTGAAAGAGATATGGTGGAAGTGCTTTGGTCTTCTGCTAATATGTAAAAGTTCTCTCACTTTTAAGTTGTAAGAACCATGAAATATTAATTGGATTTACACGAGCTCATTTGCCTCATTTTTAGTATCTGTGGTACTGGAGCTCACAAGCCTAAAATCTTAAGTTGATAAGGGATGGACCTGACCAACTTATGTTGTTTAAAAAGGATATTGTCTCCCTCTTAATATTTCTCTTTGCAAGCCCCTGTTGTTAATCTCTGGTAGCACTTGTGTTTGTATAGGTAACACTTTCTAAACCCCAGCCAAGGAAGGTGTTTTTCCTACACATGTTTAGCCAATATAACTTGATCTTAAGTGGTCTAGCATGACTAGTGATTACTATATTCTAATGTGTTGTTCTGGGATCTTTACCACTTGAACTGTACAGGGAAACTTGTATGCATGACTATGGTTTTTATGAAAGCCACTGCTTTTGAGGGTGGTCTAATGGAGGCTTCCTTATGCATCCTTAGAGGAGCATCTTCCATGAGTCCACAGGCATGGGTTCAAATGACATTAGGGATTTTTTGCTCCTTTACAGATTTTTTATGGGTGCAAGTATAGTTCTTTGTGAAAATTTTACTAGAACTAGTGAACAGCCATAAATGTGTTAGTAGAAAGCTCCATATGGTCTGTTTCAGTAATTTTTACTTCTGATTAAGCTTTGATAATTGGGTAAACTAGACATCGGTTGGTGTACTTTGCAATTGGTCTAATATATATATTTTTGACTGAGCTATTGTTACCACCTAAGTTCCTGATGAGGATACCCTCAACGGCATCATGTAGCTGCCTCTGGTTGTTTGTCTACACAGTTTACATGTGTAGATAGATTGATGCTCTAATTTGTGCATTTATTCAGTATCTTGCTTCATTTATAGGTTTCACTTGTCCACACGAACTTCCAACCAGCTTTGGACTTCTTCAGTAACTTTGTCAAAGGTAATTCTTTTTCTCCATTCTGTTTGGGATGACAATGGGGACATTTCAGTTAATGTATTTGTTTTCCCCGTATCATTACCTAAACCAAACTCCATCCTGTTCCCAGTAGAGGATAATACTCGCATGCCTGCCAAGGTCGCAGCCTCGCAGGCACAGGGGAGATTGTGCAACAACTAACTTTAAAATACAATACCTCCTTCCACGGCTCATGTCTGTACGCATTTTCTTGCACATGCTCAGTAGGTGGTTCTTAGGTTTCTAACAAGGGGATTGTGTCTGCAAGGAAGAAAGTGAAGAGGTGAAAGCATTTCCACCTCCCAAATTTGTTGCTTTTTCGATAATGGAGATTTCTGCTAGTGGGTTAGGGGGGGGGGAGATGCATGGGTTCCAAGAAGGAGCTGATCTTCTTCTATTTACTAGGGCTTAGAAGGGTATTATTGTCTTCTTCAAAAGCGTGCAAGGAATAGAATTCCTTAGCCACAGCCATGAAATGAACAAATCAGCAAGTGGTGGGATCACATATTTTAAGGGTATTCAATTCTTTTCAAAGTTGAACAATGGAGGAAGGGAACTTGGTCAACGGAATTGACATTCCAATTTCTTCAAATTCCATTGAGATCCCACGAACCAAAATCACCTAAGTACCTTCTTTTTTCTAGTCATACTTCTCATAAGTATCCAGCATGATCATTGAAGACTTCAGTCAAACCTGCGGGTGATGAAGTATCAAAAACGTATGAGAAACAGTTGTAAACCTTCAATCTTTTACATATACCAATAAGTTAACAACACACTTGAAATAGTAATGATCATGGTAACTGTAATTTTGGGAAAGTCTGTAGAACTGGTAGAAACGTGCACCCAATGACCAAAGGTCATGTAAGGATTGTTCCAGGAATTACTCACTTTTGCCACAGAGCTGGTCAATTTGATTATAGAATTCCAGACTGAGTACCGTTTATTTAGGGATTAACCTCTGAATGTTTGTCCGTAATTTACACTATAGGGATCTATAGTTAAAAGAGTTATTAAAATTTCAAAAAATATTTGTAATTTCAATTAGTCATTGCAGGGTTTGGGAAGAAGTCGAGAGCAAGAAGAACGAGTATCAAGCCAAGTTTTACTGAAGGTATGTGATAAATAGAATATAATTACTTTCATAATAATATTTTATACATTGGACCATTTCAACTCAGTCTATTTGACAGTTGTTTTTATCTATTGATGCAAGTCTAAGGGGCCTTTTGCCATAAGCTTACCTGGGTAAGTGCTTACCAAGTCACGTTACCTTACCGGATGAATATGGCAAGGACCAAGAATCTTACCTGTTAAGAGCAAATGTAAGGACCAAGAATCTTACCCGGTAAGTGAGGACGATGACTCTTACCACGGTTAGCGCTTACAGGGTAAATTGTTGCATACGGTACCGTTTTGGTGGACTAAAATCTTGCTTGGTAAGTAGGTGATGGTGTTGAATTTTTCCGGTAAGCACTTATCCACGTAAGCGTTTGGTAAACGGCCCCTAAGTATGTCTTTCATGGGGCCTAAGACTTGCCACAAAGAAATGATGGCATATAGTTATGTACATGTAATTTCTCTATTGTATAGTGATTTACCTTGGTATTTCAGATTGTGTTATTTCCAGTATTCATCTGTAAATGACCAAGATTTGGTCTTTTTGCTAATGGAACAGGCGATTGCAGATGCCTGCAAGGTTGCAAGTACAATAAAGTTTGTTTCAGATTTGACTGAAGGTGAAGTTCCTGCTGTAAGTGAGCAGTGCTTTAACGAAGACCAGGAATTAGAACAACTAATACATGGAAAAATATGCTTCAAAGTCTTCCCATTTTCAAGTGGTACGATTCAATAAATATTTTCCTGAAATATTGGATGAAACTTTGTCTTCTGTTAATCGTTATTATGAAGTCAGTGTTTTTCAGGGATACTGACTACAAGTGGAGAAAGAAAAGTAATTCTTTCCGGCTCATTTAACCCGCTACATAATGGTCACCTTAAGCTCTTGGAAGTTGCGATGAGGTATGTTGACCTGCGCTGGCAATTTATAGTGTTGGACATTAACTCTATATAGGCGAATGATACAATGAAATCTTGATGTGCATGTGTCCTTTGATGCGATATAAGAAATGCTTTGCTTCCATCTAAACTCATTGACAGTGAGAGGGGTGATCCATGCCAAAAGTTGCACATAAATAAATTTACTGTTAGAATTCTCACTAGCTAGGACAAGTAAGGTTTGTATTGACTTGAGTGGAAAATAACCCCTTTCGAGATTATTATAGTAAACAAATTAAATCAAAGCAAAGGAAAACACAACAGGAAAGGAAAACTAAACCAGACCAGACCAAACCAAACCAATTTTTGGGTTTGTAAAAGAAGGGGACTCTCTCTATATATACTTATTACATGAACACCTATTTTTTTGGCTATACCACTGCTTTAACATTGCTATTTCTAATATGGCAAATAACAGACCTGTCTGTGATTCTAGTTTTGGAACATGATAACTGCTTAGGCAATAATTAATATGGCATCTATCAACTTTGGTTTATAAATGGACTTCTCTTATCTTTGGTGGAATCTTTTCAATCCTTTCAAGTATAGTGATATTAACGCTGGGATGATGAAACTAGTTATTTAGTAATAATTACATTTTATATATTTTGATGAACTGCTTATGCTTGCTCAAGTAGTCAAGTGTATGCCTAGGCAATTAAGTGCTTAAAAGTTACTCCACTGCCTCGCTTTGCTTAACTCTTCTCAGAACACTGAAAGTATCATGAAGTGTTCTCTCTCTCTCTCTCTCATATGCCTTATATGCCCCATTTCTACATATGATGTTGTGTTATGTGTGGAAGTTCAATTTCATATGATTGGATGTGTGGAACTATGTTACTTAGCCACTTTGTTTTCATAACAAAATTCTAATGGTTGATTAATATATGCAGTCTCTGTACTGATGGATATCCATGCTTTGAGTTGTCAGCCATAAATGCAGACAAACCTCCGCTGACAGTTGAAGAGATTAAAGATCGCGTTAAACAATTTGAAAAAGCTGGTGAGTTTGTTTCATTTATTTTTGTTATCAGATTTGTGAAATTCATGTTTGACCATGGTTGTTGGTTTAAGTGTTTTCTTTTTTCATATTAATATTAATACACATGCAAAGGAGAGGACTTTCTACGTTGATAATGAAGTGGAATTTGGGCTGTAAAAGCTTGAGAAATATCAATATGGTTATTCTCATCTCGCTTGATGAATGGGGAGGGATGCATCAAGAGCCATTACAGTCGCAATAAATTGTGTTCGTACATGACATTATCAATGTAAAATTAACGAGTTTAATCTAAAAGCTGGCGTCAACTGAGTGTTTGTGATGCAGGAAAGACGGTGATTATTTCTAATCAGCCATATTTCTACAAAAAAGCAGAGCTTTTCCCCGGCAGTGCTTTTGTAATCGGTGCTGATACAGCAGCAAGGCTTATAAATGTAAGAACTTCTTTCACAAAATCTGCTCGACCGTTTAAAACCGTTTTTCATGTAGATCTTATCGTTATGCTGCGAAAAGAAATGACAATGTACTTGATAAGAGGAAATAAGGATATGTAACCCCCAAATAAAGAACAGAGTATGAAATAAGGATCTTTCTTTTCTTGCTTTTACTGTATCCCCGAGCCCGACCTAGTTTTTCTTTCTGTCCTAGTCGAAGTTCCAAATAGCATGAGGCATGGTGTGGCAACGAGGCCAAGCCTCAAGCCTTGGAAGCCATGGTGAGGTCACAACATTTTTTAAGACGTGACTTATGGCGAAAAATCTCTATATCATATGTAATAATATATGTATATAAACATGTTTCTACTGTTACTCGGTGAATCAATGATAATACACACTTTAAATTAAGTTATATCTTAAAAATTAACAAATAAGACGTTAAAAAATATGTAAAATCAAATATTGTGTTACAAAAACCGCGCATTACGCCATCGCCATGCCTCAGGCTTAATGTGACGTGAGATACAAGCCTTGAGCCATGGCGCGCCATGGCAGTTGTTGCGGCGAGCCTTTTCGAACAATTGTCCTAGTAGTTGTCAGTATGACATTCTGTGTCTCATGTTTGTTTCAGCTTTTATCCCTAACACTCCACTTGTTGCTTGCCTGCATACACGCCTCTTCTACTTCCCACATTTCTTTTAAATTTTGTTTTGCTAGCTGGGAGTCTTCATAGAAACCTCTCTACTCCTTGGGATAGAAACAAGGTCTGTGTACATCTTACATTCACCAACTCCTCTCTCTGTGTGGGATATAGTGGGATCGATTCGTTTGATTTTGTTTACAATGAAGTAAATGGTACAAGTGATTGTACTATGTCCTAGTGGTCACCTAGGATTGCCAAAGGGTGTGAAATCTCCCAAGTTTTAACTCCTTTCATTGATCACACATAAACCAATAAAAGATAAATAGAACTCTAGATGCACACAGACAGATGACATTTGTATCCCCATGATCCTACTTCTGAGTGGGATATATCGAGTACGTTTCGTTTGGTCACTCGTGACACTTTTGTGAAATCCCTATTTCTGTTTGTTCTAGCAATCTTAATAAATTATTTTCCACTTGTTTCCAGCCGAAATACTATGGTGGCAACTATGAGAATATGGTAGAGACGCTCCTTGGATGTAAAAATACGGGATGCACTTTCCTCGTAGGTGGTCGAAACATGCATGGTGTTTTTAAGGTTTGTCCACATTCCAAAACACCTTCCATCCTTCTCCCTTTCCACCAAAGTTCTGTAACGCCATTAAATCGTGATATTATTGCAGGTTTTGGAAGATTTTGACATCCCGGGCGAGTTAAAAGACATGTTTATTTCAATACCAGTGGATAAGTTCCGAATGGACATTTCGTCAACCGATATAAGGAAAAGCCGAGTGTAAAATAATCCTATTTTAAGTAGATTTACCAGTCCAAGTTACTTTGTGACCTTTATTAAGGAATCTCTATGTTATTTAAACTACGTTGGTATTAACACATTTCTATCATAAGCTGCAAATGCAGTTTTTTCTTATCAACCTGGATATCCAATCCGCTATACGAGCCGACTAATCCTAGGGCGACCACCTGTTTTGCAGGTAGTCTGGAGTCACCGCATTTGAATCTCCGTGGCCACAAGAAGATTTTTATTACTCCTTGGATTTGAACTTGGGACGTCCATGTACTTTTGACCTTTGCAAATGCAGTTTTTTGTCTTAACCGTCTATGGTTTTTAATTGGAAGAACTCCCAAAAACCCAATGGACTTTTTGATTTTGAATGATTAAGTTTTTGATCAATTTTTTTAGATAAATAAATCACTGGAATTTTGAAAACTAGTTAAATAATCATTTTCACCTACAAAACCGGTTAAGTGTGTCAATTTGGTCATTTTGCTTGTTTTTATTAAAAAAAAAAAAAAAGGTGTACAACCTTCTATAGCTTGTCTACACATGAGGTTTAATTTTTTATATATTTATTTATGTGAAATAAACTAAAATAATATCATATAACTTTCTATTTATTAATTACATATATGTGTAAATATGCGATATGCACAATGCTAAACAACATTGCTCTCGGTCGATCATTCCACCCGTAAACCCTAAACCACTTAGCCATCGGCCCAAACCTCTTCCCCTAAACTCCATCGATGCCCTAGTAAATCGCTACCTCCCATGCCCTTCTCCACCGTTCTCCACCCTACAACCCACCTCAGCCACAGTCCATTCTTGTTGGGGTTTTGGACACCATAAAGGTCCCAAAAGCAAATAGATAATGAATTTTATTCAACGACAATCAAGAATGTGATGCTGGATAACAACTAATCAGAACATTGTAAACACACAAACCACAAATATTTACATGGTTCTACCATCTATATGGGGATGTATGTCCACAAAGAAGATGAACAACTTTTATTGATGCAGAACAACAAACACCTAAACACCAAAGAAAAATTACAAAGTGCACACTAAATTGTGTATAATCTCTCTCAATATTTTCTCAACTCAATCTACGGTTTCTAAGCTCTCAATTTTGTTCTCTACCTGACGGAACTCAAGGAGGTATTTATACTAATCCATTGGTGGAATCCCAATTTGATCCCAATGCTAAAATTAGGAAAAACATAATTATCGTCGCGCACGGCCAAGCTTGATTACAAGGTGCGGTCGTGCCTGAAGACCCAAATGTTTATGTTCACGAAATAACACTACATCCACCCTTGTTTGATCATAAGGTGCATCCGTGTCAGAACACCCAAAACTTTCTGTCTTGCAAAGTAACATTATGCATGCCTGTGTTTGAATATAAAGTGTGGCTGTGTGCAACACTCGTGTTTTTGCGGTTAATCTCTTAAGGGTGTCGGCTTTTTTAGTGATCCATTTGGTTTTTAACTATGATTAGATGCATATAACATGTAAATTCAGGGAGGTGGTCGAGTTGTGGTGAAGGAAAGTTGTCTCAGTAGTCATTCAGGGTGTTACATGACCTCCTATGTAAGTTTGATTGCTTAAGAAGTCAAAAAGTACGTTGAAAACACAAAACAGGGTCGCCTACCAAGTCGATTAAGGCTCTAGAGAGGTTTTTGTTCTTGGGCTACTTCCACGCTACTTAAGTTGCCCGGAAATTCGTGTACGATCCCTGATGGGTTAAAATCCCTATTTTAAGCTAGAGTTTGCCATTTCACTCCCCCTTCTTCATTTGTCTTCCACAAAAGACGATTTTCACACTATTTGGGACAATTCTCAAAGGTTTTTGAGGGCAAATGGAGGAGTGAAATGTAGATTGATGATCTATGAGAGGAGTCTCAAGACTTCCTCATGTTTGGTTGAAATCAAGGTTTGTCTTGAAGATGAAGACATCCATTGTATAGTTTTGGATGAATGGTTTCAAGTTCTTAAAGAGGTAAGTTTCTTGAGTACTTTGAGCTTTATATTTCAGGGATCTTTGTTGATTTGAAGTTTATATTAATATATGGTACATTTCTAAACTTAGTTTGTCGCCTAGAGAAAAATTCTAGAGATCCTTGGTCGTGGATTCAAGTCTTCAACTTTTGGAAGCTTGGAGATGTGTTTGGAAACTAGGTTTAACCTAACTAAACAAGGTGAGTTCAAGTTGCTTTGTGAAAACTTTGTACATGCTCAAAATATCTATTTTGGAGTCTTAAACTGTTTGCTTTGAGATTTATCAAATGTGAATGATTTCTTGAGGATATTTTTTGCACATTTGATTATGTGAATGATTTCTTGAAGGATATTGCATTTTTGCACATTTGATTTTATAAAGTACTGAGAAATGCTTGTATTTGAGACTTTTAGACATTTTAATAAATAAATCATAAAGGGTGTGGTTTTGATATTTATGAGGATTATTTGATGCTAATACTTTATGATGTATTTTGGAAGTGTAAATTGTTTGGTTCTTATTTGGAGACGAATTATCCCAACAATAGTGGATTTTTAACAAATCACATTTTGAGCATGAGTTTGCATAGACATTTTGAGCATGAGTTTGCATAAACATTGACTTTTATTGACTAGTCACATAATTGTGGAGTCTATTGGCTTCATTTTGGCTGAAATGAGGTACTGGGACATTTGTTTGGTTTAAATTACTCAATGTTAAGTTTTTGACGTGTATTGCATTTATTACATATGTATTTGGAAATTACATGTTTTAAGTGTGTTGATCATTCATTTGGAGTCATATAATATATCCATAGGCATATGAATCAGTCAGTTTGATAAGTGATGAGTTTTGATGTTCTCGCCTCGAGTAAGCATCATGGTCGTGCTGGTATTGCGAAGAGGAACCCATGCAGGGTTGGACTTTGGGACTGTGTCGATATTGCTAGGATAAAATCTTATGAGTCGGGCTCTAGGAGCATGGGTGTTGCAGAGGTGATCTTTTGATGAGTCGGACTCCGGACCTAGGTATTACAGTGATGAACTCATAAGGAATCAAGCACGAGGACCTTTGTTGTTTTAGTCTTTGGCCAAATATGGTTGATATTTAGTCATCGGGGCTATTGCGGGAATGAAATCGTGTGGAGTCGTGCCCCAGGACCATTGGCTTTAAAGGTGTAACTCTATTTTTTTAAGATAGTCACTAAGATCAGTGGTATTAAAGAGATGAATTGGTGTGGGGCCCGACTCTAGGACCTTGGGTATTGCCGTTGAAACTTGGAAGGAGTTAGACATCAGGACCTAGATTTGAGGTGATACTCGATAATGTTGATGAATGGATTACTTTTTGTTTTTTTGGGATTGATAGAAACTGGTCCCCCCCGTTATCGAACTATATTGTTTTTAGATATAGAGTTTATCCATGTTTACGGTGTCCTACGAGTATGAAGGGTTATCCATATTTGTGGTTTTGCTATATTGGACTCTATCTGTTGGTACTTTGGATAATTGAGTTTTATCATTGTTTCCAATATTTGATTATTAAATCTTGTACATGATTTTTACGAATGTTGGATCATTGATTTCATACTAAATGAGGATTTTGATTAATGAGTTTTCATAACGAAAAGGGTGGGAGTTGGAAAAGATGTTATTCTTATAATAAATACATTTTGTTTTGGAAATGGCGATTTAAATGTCATTCTTTATGTTTTACCATTTTATATTAGGGCAAATTACATGAAAAAGTAACGTACGTTAATTTGATTCATATTTTGGGTAACGTACTTCTAAAACCTTCAATTTCGATAACTAATAAAAAAGCAAAATTTCAAAATTTTTGTGAAAATGATATTCATTATCGAAGAGCTCTAGGCATCCTCCGAATTATCCTACAGGGAACGGAAGCCAACTTTAAAAGAGGATTCCGTACATATGACGGAAATAAGATATATTCATTTGTAATGATCTCCCAGCAAAATCAACACCCAGAGCTGCGGAGAATTATCTAAAGACAAAGATAGATTTATTAGATAAAATGATCATTAAGTCAAGCCCAGTTCAAGATATGTCAATTCAGAGAACATAATAAAGGTAGATGCCATGCTCGCTAGATAAAGGAAAAGAGAAATGAAGATAGAAGTGTCACTCTTGCATCTGATAACGAATAAAGACAAAGATAAAACACATGGGACCGACCCCATATGTAAAAAACGTGGCCCTTGCCACATATATGAAGACAAGAAATAAATTGATGGCAGAGATCTGGGGCTGCAACGTCTGCTAAGAGTCTCGTGGCATAACCTGGCGATATTTCGGTCAAAGAAATAAAAGTAATAATAAATAATAATAGTAATAATATAATAATAATAATAACAACAACATAAACAACAACAACAATAATAATAAAACGACGGATTACCAGCAGAATTTTTCCGTCGGAAAATGAAATTTTCAAAATTTTCATGAAAAATCGGTTTCTTTTTAAATCTTTAAAAAGTTTCTGGCGGACATATCTGCCGGTAATATCCTAAAATTAAACCCTACCATCTTCCTCAGATCGACGGTCGCACCAACCACAAATCTCAAGTCGACGACCCCCATCGACCGCCGCACCACCCCACATCTCAAATCGGCGACCCACACATCTCAAATCGGCGACAATTCCTTCACCTACCCCTACCGCCGATGATTCCTTTCCCTACCGCCGACCTCCTCCCTGCAGTGGTATGTATATATGATTTTATGTATGTAAATATGTACTGTATGTAAATATGTACTATATGTATATATGATTTTATATATGTATATATATATATATATATATGTATATGTAAATATATATATGTATATGTAAGTATATATGTGTATATATGTATGTAT